CATCAATATTTGCCCACCACCATATTCTCTTGACTTGAACCCTGTATAGAAATTGTTCTCTTCTTGGCGTTAGATGTTTTATGATCAGCAATCTTACAACAGAGAAAATCTCGAGGTGATGGCTTGTGCAAGGATAGATTTGAAGAAATGCAAAGCCTGGATGTGTCATGCTAGGGGCTTTTACCCTCCTTTTTTGTACAAGGAGAATGTAGACTGTGACATAGAGATTCAGTGGCCTCTCCCAGCTAGAAGACACAATGCTGATGATAAACTTCTTGCTTTTTTCATTTTATTTTTATACAGTATTTCTACTTTTGCTTGATGTACTATAACCTTCACATGGATTAAGTTTTTTGTAGGCTGTAACATGATGAATGAGGGCTGCTGTGAATAAAAACAAAACTTTATTTTGACAGCATTATTTGCTGAGACCTCTTTTTCCTATAGTTTTTCCACAATGCTCTGTTGTACAATATATTTTGCTGTGTTTGGGGCATGATTTGACAACACTATTGCTTTTTGATACTGGTTGACGCTGTTTTGAGTCAATAGCTTCTTTTTCCAACCAGAAACAAAAGTTTTCTTGAGATATTTATAGGATTTATGTTCAAAGTTGTGTCAATTTGAGTGAATATCTATATATTTACTAGGACGCGTGCTTTTTAATTTTTGTCTCCATGGTTGTTATTTTTATTTTATTCTATTCTAAGTGTTTCTTAGATGTATGTTTTATTTCATTTAAGCTCCTGATTATTGTTTATATTTATTTTTCATATTTATACTGATTTTGGCACAGCTGCTGTACTTTTCTTACTTAGATGTATTAAATACATTTTATTTGGCTACAAACAGACACAGAGTCTCATAAAACCTCTATAACCTTTGAAATCGCTTTAATGTTTCTTTTCAGGTTTATTGTAGTCAGTTACCACAAATTACAATTGTAAAATGGAAGCAACATAACGTGGTTATAACGTTTCCTGGGAAAGCAAATTGGATCGTTTCGGCATGCAGTTATTTTAAGCCTCTGTAACTTTGATACCTCAAATAAAATCCCACATAAACCTGACATTTAAAAGTCACCTATTATTAAATGGAGTTCACATATTTGTAATTTCCATTCTCCCCTGTAGTTTGTAGGAGAGCATTAGTAAACATTATGAGGACCATGGAGAAAAACAGACATGTCAAAGAGAGCGTTTATCCGAAAGGCACAATTAACAGTTGGATAGGAGTACAGATTATCTGCCAATCTGGAGTATTTCACCACTTATACAGGGTCTGAAAGCAAAGACCCTTTCTATCTCAAATGAAAGGAAATCAGAGATTATGTTAAGGAATAACTCAATAAGCAACCAGTTAAAAGCCTAACTTTAACCCCAAGCTGTTGGTACTGCTGGTAGTGTCACTGTGTACAGTAGAAATAGTTTGCTTTTGCCAAGGGACCAAGAAAACTTTCCTCTGAACCTAAACGGGGCTTGGCAGGAAAAATTTGCGAATCTTCTGTTTGTGGTTCTTTCATTCCTGAAAGACGTGGCAGTAGATACTAGCCTGACCCTGCTTGCTTTATTCTCCAATTGTTAGACAATCAATCATTCAAATTCCACTGTCCTTTACAAGGACTTGGTTCAAAGTTTTGATAGAAAGTTCACCCAAAAGTTTTTGTCAAAGGCTGTCAATAACATATGTAAACATGCAAAGATATAAAAATACAGCTGAAGGTTTTACATTTTCTTTGGAAATCCTGAAACCATATTGAAAGGAAACAATCATCAGACGTATTAAGCTTATTACCAAGCATAGCACAATATTATAGTATTTTTATATTGAACCCTCAGAAATCTTACTTCTGTGTATATATTCAAGCACAGGTTTAAACCTTTCTCTTTTATCAACCAGAAATGTCAAATAGATCTTAATTGGTTGGGCTAATTTAATCATCCAGTCTTTTTGTCCATAAACTGAAATTATATTTTGACACATGAAGCATTTGTGATGAATTCTTCAGTTAAAAAACTGTAAACACCTATAGAAACTTCTTAGTTGTTATTTTTAATAGTTTTTATCTATAAAAGGATTAGAAATGACCCATAATTAATTAACCACCATTAGTAATTTGTCAATTCATAAACAATGGCTTCTTTAGGGAATGTTTAAGTAGAATTATACTGCTTCCTTCAGTCAGTGATGCACTTCTTCAGTTTTTCAGAATTTACTATTTTTCATTTTATAAATATTAAGGTTTGAAGGTTTGCCAAAAATGGAAATTCAACAAACTGGTATGCCTTTTTATCTTTTACAATCCAAAGCCCCATCAAGGCTCCACATAGCTTCCCCAGACATTTAAAGAACCAAATAATTTATTGCATGAACTGATAAACTCAGCCACTGGTGGAGGGAGCAGATTTTCGAGGATAATCTATGTTTCCTGACCCAGGATGATGACCTGATGAGCTGATCAGATGCCATAAAGCATTGCTCTTGTACTCACTGCACCCATGCATCCCTTTTCATATCAAGTGTTTAATAGGAGGTCAGTGGAGATAATTCTGATATTAAAGGAAAGAGTACCTGGGTGGTTTAAAAAAAAAACTCAAATAAATGTAAATAAACAAACCGTGGAACATATAGAATTTGAAAAATACATTATTGATTGATCATTGCAATCAATACCGGTAATATATGCAAATAATTTGTGTCTTATTTTGGAAAAAATGGACAAGGCTCCATGGCGGTTTGAACATATTTTCACACTTGTAAAAACAAAAGAAAAACAACAAACTGAGGCATACATAAAGCGATTGCTGTTTTTTTTTATTTTTTTTTTTTTATTAGCAGCTAAATGGTTAAAAAATGTCCATGTTCATCAGGGCAAACTTGACATAGCTTCCAGGGACCTGCTTTTGAACCTGTTGGCAAGTCACATGTTCAGAAGGCCGTTACAAATATGTTTACTGTGATGTGAAAAAATAAAACATACCAACTTCTTTATTGACATCAGATCGGGAAAAAAGTTTAATATCGTTTCTTTTATAAATCACAATACTAGCTTTTTGTATGCAGACTTGAATGCCCATGTGGTTGTTTCTACAAAGGCAGAACAAAATGCAAATTTAAAGCCAGATTAGCAGGACATCAGCTAGCCATCAGCTATACTTTATGGCAATGCATTTCAAACATGCAAATCAAGGCACCAGTAACACATTCAAAATCTTAAAAGTCTGTAAGAGGTGATGATACACTAAACCAACTTCTACATAGAGAGTATTTTTGGATTTATACCCTTGAAGCGACATAGTATGCAGGTCTATATGGTGAATTGTAACCCTTCCTTTGATGATTGCAAAATGTATAACAGCTTTGATAATGGTCATCAATGTTAAATTATGAATGTTTCACTGTAACGTTCTGCCCACTTTTATGATGCATATTTTCATTATGTATATTTTTCATATATTTTATCAGATGAGCGTTACATCACCAGGTGATGCATTGCCAGCCCCTTCTGAACATCTGTCTTCTCAAGTGTGTCCCGATGAGCCTAAGACCTGAGACATGTTGGCATTTTTAAACCATTAGCCATGTTCTAATAAATGCTTTTTTAAAAAAAAGGAACAGTCACTTTTTGAGTGCCTCATTTTCCAGTATTTTGACTAGTTTGAGAATGATCCTTACATTGAAGAGCACTAAAAGGACAACACCATAAAGAAGGATTTGACATCCAGGTAGCACACCTGGATGCTTTAACTATGTTTTTAGCTATATAGTCGGTATTGGTAACTTTGAATAACTTCAGCTGGTTTATTTAAATATACAATGACTATCATGGGATGCTTTGAATGAACCCTGTAAGGTTGAATTTGGACGTGAAGTAGGCCGAACATGAGGTGGAGCCTTGCATGAAAGCTTTGAGACACAACTCAATTGATTTTCCATCTACAAGCAAGAGGCGGGTTACGCCCCGGACAGGTCGCCAGTCTGTTGCAGGGCAACACAAAGACAAATGGGAACACCTGGAACCTTCTTGCTGCAAGGTGGCCGTGCTACCCACTGTGCCTCTTAGAAGGCCTTTGAGCCCTTTGGTGTGATCTATAAAGAAATAATGCTTGATTTTGTGCTTGCACATGTTTTTATAAATCAGGAAGTTTTTTCCCCTAAACTTTTAGTATGGATTACAGGCAATGTTCCGATAAATGAGACCCCTGCTCTTTTTACAAACTCCAAATAGCTGAAATAGCACCTCACCCGAATTATACATGTATACATATATAAAAAAAAAGCTTCACTTGAGCTACTTTTGTAAAAAAAAAAAATCAAAGAGAGTGCATTAATTTACAGGGAATTATGGCTCATTGCAAACTTTCATTAATGTTAATCAGGAAACACACAGACATGCTTTATGGAAATGTCTGCTTTGGGTTATTTTCATAGATTCTGATGTCACTGTGGTTTTATTTGTTGGCATTAAATGATTTGGAGTTTAAACCTTTTTTAACTATCAGTCATACAGATTGTCACAATATGTGGAAGTTCTCCAGTTATATAAAGCAAAACTCTATCAGCAGCTATACTGAGCAGTCCAATGAATCTTCATCATCTTGGAATTGTTAACAAAATGCTTGTTTGATGTGAAATTTGGAGGTGATTGATAAAGAATATGCTATCTGTCAGGTTAAAGTTGTACATGTGAGGGCCAGACAAGGGCATCTTTCAGTTATAAATAAGACATGTTTACTTGTGATCCACAGAATGAATCTCTTCCCCAGATGTCCTGGGTAGTTTTCATGGAGCCCGTCCAGAAGGGAGAAATCTAGACGCTGGGTCCATGTTTCCGTTTCCACTAGAGCCTTTGAGGGTCAACCCATGGCTCTGTCTATTTTTAAAATGCACCCGTCTAAGCCGGAGTACCATTACTCTCCGTGTTGATGGGTTTAAATGATGAATGATGATCAGTGATGTGCTCTGCTTTGTTCTAACGCATTGGTCTACTGTCGCTACAGCTCTATGGGGAGTACCAGGAGCACCATGGAGGCTCGGGCAGAAGGGAGGCAACCCGCCTGCTAACAGAGAGACAGATCAAGAAACACGGAAATCATCATCATCACGGCCAAGGGAGGACACGACATGGGCGTGGTCGCCATGGTCACGGCCATCAGCATGGCATTCACAGCAGGCACAGGACCAGGTTTCAGCTCTACATGGAAAATGAGACTGCTGAGGAGCAAATGGCTGAAAAGGAGTTTACCTCCTCCATGAGGAAAATGCGCTCCTACTCCAAATGCAGAGGTTGAGCAGCATCGATTTAAGAAATGGAAGCAGATGCTAGTAAAGGCGCTGCCCATTTTCATGTCCTTCTTGGTTTTCTTAGACTGCATAGCACAGGTGCAGCACTTTCTTGTGACGAGACTGGGAGAAGACTGGATCTTCCTGGTTCTACTGGGCATCACGATGGCTTTGGTCAGCTGGACGATGGACTATGCCAGTGCTAAAAGCCTTCAAGGTATAACTAAACTCCATCGGACACAGGACTGGTAATCAGGAATGCATGGTCACGTGTTTGCACTGAAATAGATCTGTCCTTTTCTGTTTCCTTTTGGAATATTTCGCCTTTTTCACAGTAACACTCAATCTCTATAACAAAAGAGTTTCCACCCCTTTTGGTTGTCATAGTTTTGTTCTTAATTCTTTCATTTTCACGATTTCTCAGTTTCTTTCCCTTGTCATCATTCCTCCTCCTTTAGCCTATAAGTGGATATATAGGGAACTGAGGGGGAACATCCCCCTGCAGTACCTGGCCTGGGTTTCCTACCCCTTGATGTTTATCCTCTTCTCCTCCCTCTTCTGTCACCTGGTTTCTCCTCAAGCTATCGGTCTGTACCCACTCCTTCCGCATGTCCTTGTCTTCAGGGTTCTCTGTACGAACCTGCATGTCTAAAGTAACATTCAGTTGCCCATAATGTCAAGCAACTTGTAATCAATCCGAGATACACAACTAATGTGATGTACAATATATTACCAGCAATAGCGCAAGGACACAACAATAGGCCCGTAAGCAACATTATCTGGGTGGGCCCTTTTTGAAGTACAACACGTGATCAAGGTTCAGGAAAAGGCAACAGTTCCATAAATCGGCCAAGAATATACAATTAGGCAATTCTCAGTAGTATATAAACACAGATCACACATAGTGACTGCGCACCTGTGACAGCGCACCACTGCATGTTACAGACATCCAAGCTCCAAAAACAAATTTTAGGGAGATGCCATTCATCTCCTAGTCACAATCTTTACTCACTCTAGCATCAACATCCACCTCTCCTGCTACTGTTCTTTGAATGTGTTTATTTTGGGAAGTTTTTTTCCGTTCTTCCAGCAGCTCTTATTTCCTTTTTCTTCTCTGGAATCAGCTTAAACACCTCTTTTTGGTATCCATCCTCGCTAACACATTTTACGTAACAGTTATGGTTTTAATCTACTCTCTGGGTTACTCATAATTCCAAGTCGTAGTGTAAAAAATAAGATACTGAAATAGATTGTTCTTTTAAGATCTTTATTGTGGTTCGAAACATATTATATGAGTGTATTTTTTACCAACCATCTAATGAACTATACACAGTTATTAACATAGTAATTAAAAGTTAACCTGACTCCGCCAAATGGATTTGCTCCACATATCCATCTGGACACCTTCCGTTTAGGTAATTGTGGGAAGGGGCGAAAATACTGGTTAGCTGATTGGCCTATGTTGGTGATAGACGGGTCAAATAAACCAATCAGATCAACGAAGCATATGACGTAAAAGAGCGACGACGAAGAGGAGCCGATTGATAGATCAAACGTCCTATTCTACAATTGCGTAAGGGGCCCACCAGGTGTCAGTGGGGGCCCCTCAGAGCTTACCGATATTAATGCCATTGATTACCAGTTCAGACAGAACCAAAAAGGGCCTGGAACTGGTAACCATTGTGGTTCTCGACTATTAAAATGCTACTTTGCGCTGCACAAGTTTGGTTTAAAAATGAAGAAGAAATTACCCTGTTTTTTTTTTTTTTCCTTTATCCTATTCCTAAAAAAAACTGTGACATGCAACCTGCCAAAGATTTTGGGAGTTTTTTTTTAGGTTTCTTTACAAAATAACACCAAAAGCCAAAATTCATGACAAAAGTATCACAGCTTTTTGATGCCATATAGACCTGGCTACTGTATCCACTGCTTTAGAATGAGGGAAATGCATAATTAATGCCAAAACCATAACAGAATAGTAACATTACCTGATGTTAAATTTAGTGAAGCAGGCGCTTTCTTGACATGACTTCTTGACATGGCTCCAACTGATTTACTGAATCAAGTAGAGAAACCTTTTTTTTTCTAACTGATTCAGCTAATCATTATCATATCAGTTTTGGTAGCTCACATTGAAATGTATTCAGGAGTTTGTTAGTTGATCCATACATGTAAACATAATTGATAAAACACAATATTGGACCAAAGGTGAGAAAGCACTGCCAGTCCCCCCTTTAACCCAGTGCATGTTGAAAGCAGAACATATAGACATGTGATGGTACTTTAATCCTTCTTTTCCTGAAATTGTAAACATTCAACTGTATGAACATACAGTTTATAAAGATATAATATATCTAGATATAAAGAAAAAAGGTAGGATCTTTGTGATGCCAAAAATTTGACAGATTTGACTTTTTTTCCATTAACTAGTAAAACAAGTAACTTTTCTTGACTGAGTTTAATGAAGATATAAAGAGCATAAAATATATTTATTTTCTAGATGCTTACAGTCACAATTTCATCAAATCTTACAGTCAGATTGGTTAACAGTTTTTTATCAAAAGAAACCCAGCTAATTGCATTGATTCAGTGACTCTTCAGCAATCACACCAAGTATGCTTGTAGCGACAGTGGAGAGGAAAACATCCTTTTAACAGAAAGAGTCACCCAGCTGAACCAGGCTTAGTGTGAGCGTCCATCTGCAGACTGCAGTTCAAGGAGACAGAAGCAGACCAAATGAACATGGAAGCACTGATCCATAAATACTTTTAATATTAAAAAGGTAAACATACACTAGGTTCATATGTGGATCTGTCTAGGAAAGAGACTCATAACCAGATGAACTATGAGCTAACTTTATGTCAAAAGGGGTAAAGGAGAGCACATACAGTTAGTCAAAGTAAAAGTTAAGCCCATAGCTGTCCTTAGGAGAGAAACAGGGCTAAACACTGAAAAACAGGCTCAACACTATGACCTATTATGGACGTTGATGGCAGGAGCCCAGCTGATGGCTCAGAGGATGATCTCACAGCCAAACAGACCACCAAGCCAGATGAAGCTGTTGTGATGAGAAACACTATAGATAACCTAACTAATAAACTAACAAAAACTGCAGAACTGGAAAATAACAATAGAATGATGCAGAATAATGAGATGTAGCAGTTTATGCTAACCAAAGTAGTTCAGGATAAAACATAAATTAAGAATCAGAATTATGTGGAGTATGTAAAGCCTTATAGAAAAACACCATCCAAACATTTCTCCATCACATCATGAGCTTACAGATGGAAAAGTTGACTAGTTGTCTGAATTCCACAGAGTATAGAGGCTCCACCTCTTCTCCCTCTGACTCTAACCTTTGATTTTAAGGTTCTGGCATCCCAGAGTTGAAGACCATCCTTAGAGGAGTTATTCTTAGAGAATATTTGACTCTAAAGGCCTTTGTTGCAAAAGTCATCGGCCTGACTGCAGCTCTGGGCAGTGGGATGCCTGTAGGAAAAGAAGTAAGTGACTCTTACCCCCTTTTTTTCCTTTGAGTCTAGTGGTCAGTCTTTACTTTTTATGATGGTCTTCTTCTTGTGATCCTCTCCTTCACTCAGGGCCCCTTTGTTCACATTGCGAGCATCTGTGCTGCAGTTCTTAGCCGCTTCATGTCCTTCTTTTCAGGAGTTTATCAGGTAAGCTAAAGTCAGGAAACATTGGATTTTCCTGACTGATTTTCCCAGTAACTATAGAAATGTAAATCAAAAACATATTTCAGTTTCTCCTTATTTTAATGATCTCCCCTCACTCTCTGGATCAGTAGAATCCCTACTGTTATACAGACATCCTGACAGTGGGCTGTGCGGTTGGGGTGGGCTGCTGCTTTGGTACGCCTCTTGGAGGTATGCAGACCTTTTGTTATTATTTGTTTTCTTGTTTATTTGGTTTCTTTGGAGGCTTATGGGGTAAAATTTAAGAATTATTATACTGTATTTAATGTCCTCTTTTAGAAAAGATAAAAGTCAGTTTTATTCAGCCCCATTTTTGTTTTATTTTCTACAGTTTTTCTCATAGAATATATTTAATATTTACCATAATTTCAGCTTTTCTTCATTCCTACGGTTTTTTAATTTAACCCATCTGAAATGTTTATTTTTCTGACCAGGAGATGTGTTGCTCTGAATTTACACAGTAGATTAATTGAGAGACAATAATTAGTTGATGAAAACCCTTTGGCTGTTTAACCGTAAATTTGGATTATTGTTTTCTTTTCATCTCTGTTTATTATTCTGCTTATTCTCTGATACCTTTCGATGTTTAAAGGTTTTAATATTTTAAAATACGCCAAAATGAATCAGAATTTTTATTGAAAAAGTTCTATGTTTTCAATAAAAGAAAATTTAAAATTATTTTAGCATACATTTCTATTAGATATTAAAAATGGCCAGGCTAATTGTTTTATATAGTTTTTATATGTTCTTATTTTGCTTTTGCTACTTTTTCATATCAGGTGTGCTCTTCAGCATCGAGGTAACATCTACATACTTTGCTGTGAGAAACTACTGGAGGGGATACTTTGCTGCTACATTTAGTGCCTTCATCTTTAGAGTTTTATCTGTGTTTAACAAGGATGCAGGTATGGATAGGAAACAAAGGTGTGCATGTCTGCATTTTATGAGTGTAAGCATTTGTTTCTCCTACACAAGGGGGCGCCATTGCTCTTCTATCAACTGCTAAGCAGACCTGCTCTTTCCAATGACTCAGTGGTTCTTCCCTCTTTATGGAAGAGGATTAGAGCCACTGAAAAAAATGAAAAGATGTTAACTTATTTTTAAATCTTATTTCAGTTTAATATGGGAAAAATTCATAATTCTGTCTTTAATCTCAAAATTCTGACTTTTTTTCCTTCACAATTCTGACTTTAATCTCAGAATTTTGGATCATAATGTAGATGGGCACCATGAAGGAAGCACCCAGCTTCACTGACAAAGATGTGAGCTGTTTGGGAGGGTCAGTAACATATTGGTGGAAAATTACTTAATTAGGCGACTTTTTACATGCCCAAGGGATCCCCGGTGATGCTATTTCATTAATGGAAGAGCTAGTTTAATCTCTAAAACCTGACATGGCTACAGCTTGATGCTAACATGTTTATTAGTTTATTTATTATTATTCTGAGAAAAAAAGTCAGAATTCTGAGATTAAAATCAGAATTGTGAGAAAAAAGTCAGAATTCTGAGAAAAAAAATCAGACTTCTGACTTATACTGAAATTAAATTTAAAAATCAGTTAACTTTTTAGTTTTTTTTTTTAGTTTTAGTTTTTTCCTCTTCCATACCTCTCCAACTTAGTAGCAGCAGGGTATTTTATTTTGTGTATATACTGTTTAGTTCTAATAAAAACTTTGCACATCATTTTGGTTTTTAAAACCAAACTTATTAACAGAAAAAAGTAACCAATAAGGATTGATCAGATTTATATTTATTTATTTAACTTATTTGTACATGATTGCATGCATTTTATCCAGTGTTTTCTGGATTAAAATACGTGTTTGTTTGTTTCATTCCTAGTGACAATCACTGCTCTGTTCAGGACAAATTTTCGTATGGATTTCCCCTTTGACCTTCAGGAGCTTCCTGCATTCGCCATCATTGGGTGAGCATTTGGGAATCAGAGAAAGATGTATTTTCATTTTGAACTTAACCATATTCCAATACAAATATAATTTAAAGAGTCAAAACCTTTGAGCAAAGGGAAGCAGAGTATTTGCTCATACCCATTTACTTACGGATACAAGAGAGATGCAGTGTTTAATTGCACTCTTTGTTTAGTTTTCAAAAATCAAAGCAAAGGATCATCTTATAAACATCTTCAGAATCATTGCACATGTGGGTTTTTAATTAGACACCTAAGTGTTTCATATAGATGTTTAGTCTGCAGCACACTGAGGGAATATTGAAATTGGCCATCAGTGATTGCAAAGTCTTCTGTTTAAATGCAAACTTGTATGTATTTTATTTTAAAGCTCTAATAAGGTTTTGAACAGTAGCCTGTTGTTTGGTAATAAAAACTTAATAATTAAAAATATCCACTGTAAATAAACTATTTCAGTTGGAATTCTCTACATTAATCATTTACAGTTATAATTAATATATGTTTTTTTTTTTCATTTTGCTTTGAACTTGTTATAAAAGTCAAATTTCATGGAATTTGAAAGAATTATAAACTAGAGCTTGAATATTGATTGAAAAGTCAAAAATGTGCCCCAGATCAGTTGGTGTTATTTCATATTTCCTTTTGTCTCTGCAGCATTGCCTGTGGATTTCTCGGGGCGTTTTTTGTCTATCTCAACAGACAGGTGGTGCTGTTTATGAGAAGACCCAATGCAATGACCCGCTTCCTCATTAAACAGTAGGTCTCCCAATATCAGAGTCTGGATCTATTTGTTTCAAAGGCATAAAATGATCTCGTAAAAACTAATGCTTTTCTGTTCTTTCCTTTTTTTGTAAACACTCCCAGCCGGCTGATCTTTCCAGGTACAGTTACGCTGCTCATTGCCACCTTGACCTTTCCTCCAGGGTTTGGACAGTTCATGGCAGGAGAGGTCAGAGTGAACATTCTTATTCACCCTAGTCTGTCTTAAAACACTAAATAGAAAAACAATATTGTTTTGCTTGGTTCAAACTTCTAAGAAGCCTCCTGGTAATATTGGTATAGGTACGATGATATCTCAGCCTGCTTTTTCCTCTTAGCTTCTCCAGCATCACAGAATGTTTTTTAGTCGACAAACTGAAGTTCGGACTGAATCCTCTCTTTCTCCCAGTGACCTCCCCATCCACCCATGTGTTTAAATTTTTAAACAAATAACAGGCCATAACCAGACAGGGGGGAAAAATGCCATAAGTTAATTACTTGAAGAAAAAAAAAAATCTAAGGAATTTTGTGTTTTTATGCAAAAGCTGAAAATAGAACCTTTCCAGCTGAATCTTTTTACTCGTTGCAAATCATAGAACCGTCAAAAGCTTTAACATCTCTAAACCTTTCTATATTTCTCCCAACCTTCTGTTAAAGGTTTAAGAAGTTTAGTTAGGAAAAAAATAATGAAATCAAGGAACACAGCAGGAGTTAGGAATTAATCTTTAATTTCGCTCAGATCAATTGGAAAAAATGCCCACAACTAAAGTCTGCGAAACAAGGTCAAAGATTTCTTTTTAAATTTAAAATGGAACAATGCATATTCATTGACACACTCAAAACAAGGTTCTATATGTAAATCTAAATTACTTTATACATTTTTTCTTGCAGAGAAACTGTGTACAGAAGTAAAACAGAGAAAAATAAAATATAAGATAATAAGACTGAATAAAATAAGCAAGTAAAATATGAAAAAATTACAGCCCATACAGTAAAATTATAAAAACAGTGTAAAATAATATATAGGAATAAAACAAGATAAGGATAAGAAAAAAAAATAACATAAGGAACTCAGAATAAAATCAAATGTATTTACAATGTTGCTCAGTACCTAAATTACTATTATTGGGCAGAGTGAAATAATGAAATACATAAACAATAAGTAATGAAATGAAATAGTTAAGAACGATGAATACAGCTTTATGGCCACAGGTAGGAATGACTTTGTGTGGCGCTCTGTGGTGACACTTTTTTCAGAGAGCCCAGCTCCTCTCCAACAACCTGATTGGCCTTGCGGATAAGTTTAAGTATGTTGGCATCCTTCACCTTCAGTCTGCTTCCCCAGCACACAACAGCATAAAGGATGGCACTGGCCACCACAGACTCATAAAACATCTGCAGCCTTATCTAGCAGATGTTGAAGGACCTCAGGGTCCTTCTTCCAGCATTGTCTTGCAGATGTTGATAGACCTCCTTCAATGCCTTGTACAGGAAGAGCCAGATTGCTCTGGCCCTTCCTGTACAGGGCATTTTTGCTTTTAGTCTATCTATAATCCTCCACAGTGTCCACATGAACCCCAAAGACAGAAACAGGGGCCACCTTGGCCTTAATCCTTCTCAGATCCACCACCAGTTGGTTTTTCTTAACCACGTTGAGCTGCAGATGGTTCTGCTCACACCAGGTGGCACTGCAAAAAGATTGAAATCTAAATAAGTCATTTTTTCTTGCAAAAAGTGCATTTTTTCTTGAATTGAGGAGGTAATTGAGACACTTTGCCAATGGAACAAGACAATTTACGGTACATTTAAAATAAGAAAACACAATGGCATTGTCTTATTTCAAGTGAATATTATCTAATTATCTTATTTTAAGACTAAAAATACTCATTCCATTGGCAAATGATCTTATTTACCTACTCAAATTAATGGTAAATACACTTAATTTAAGACATTTTTTTTCTCATTTTTAAATGTTTTTTGCAGTGCAAAGTTGTCCACCACACCCCTATACTCCGTCTCCTCACAAAATATGCCAGATTTAGCAAAATAGTTTTTCATTTGCAGTTTGAAGTAAACTCATGAAAAACATGACATAAACTGAACATAAATACAAGCCATGTAAAAATGAGGAAAATATAAAAGTAGAAACAATTTTTTTATAAATATAAAATAACATGAAAATTATGTGTGCATATCTTATTATCTAGAATCCACTTTTTAACTGATTTAGAGAAATATTTCGTGATGAGATATCTAAGTTCTGTGGGAACAATGTTCAAGGTGTGTGATGCTCTCACAGAGAAAAACAACTGCCCAAAACTGCTCTTTTTAAATCAAGAATCAGGATCATTTGCAGAGAAGTCAAGTGCCAATAATATTTTTTTTTCTGCCATGTTGATTGAGATCTTTCCTGTATGCCTTTTAAATTACCTTTAGCTTTCTTAATCTGATAATAAATATTCTTTCTGTCATGATTTGTGGACATTAAGATCTAAAGAGAAGCGTTATCTCCTGGTCAGACCCTGTCATTCAGTGAAAGGGTGGAGTCGGAATAAAAAAATATGCACACCCAGGAGAAGGCCAGTGGCTGGAAGCTGGATGGGATTTTGCTGGGAGCTGCAGGGAAGTGGGCTGCCATTCGGCTGGCATTTGACTGGGAAGGGGCATTTTTCTAATGGCTGTTACTTTTGACTGCTTAAAGTACAAGGAGAGACAAAACAACAAGATGAGATTAAATGGAATAAAAAGCTTTAGACTTGGATTTAAGCCAAACTTTAAAAGCCCGTCTTGTTTATTCTCACTTATATCCTCATTGCTGGGTCTCAATTAAACCCAGACCAGATGGGAAATACCAAAGTGGAAAATTCGAGATAATACCAGTGTTACTTTTTTCTCTGCTCAGGCATTATGCAGATACAGGCTCTATGGTTTTGATGCTCCAAGCAATTTCAGACATCTATGCAAATGTGGAGGAAAATGGTGGAAGTGCATTAGTCATTCATGAGTCATCCGAAGGGAATGACTCATCTGGACATGGCCACCCATACTGTCTGCTTCCTGCTTGTTAAATGACTTCCTGCCTCCTTGTAATATTGAGTTCTTAACACTTTTATCCTATCTAAAATCTTTTTTGTTTTTTGTCTCACCCTCCATTAGTTTTCCTCATTTTGTGTCCACATTTTTCTTATTTTTTCTTCTGTCATCCAGTCCAACAATGTTTTTATTTTAATGATTTTCAGTGTCTCTTTCCTCTGCCTTCCCACTACTGATACATTTAATTTTCCAATCTTCATGCCCTCATTTCTTGTTACATTCTCCTACTTCTCTTTTCTTTGTTACACTAACTTTTCATTTTAAGTTCCCATCCATTTGTTCCTGTTTGCCTCTGACTTTTGTCCATTTTGTATTCCACTTTTCCCAGTGACTGACTTTTTTCATGTGATCTTCCCTTTTCTATCCCTTTTCCATCCTCCTCCTTTGTCTTTCTTCCTCATTGCTTCCCTCCACATTTCCAGCTAATGCCTAGGGAATGCATCAGCTCTTTGTTCGATAACTTTACATGGACGAAGATTTCGGGATCTCCCTATCCGGCTGGTCTGGGCCGATCTGCAGCCTGGCTTCACCCTGATGTCAGCGTCTTTATCATCCTCCTGCTCTTCTTCATAATGAAGGTAAATTGTATGTATGTGTCCTTGGGTATGATATTTGCTGTTTGATGTCTCATCGTGTTACCAGTCCCACACAAACATTCACAGTCCTAGCCAAAGAGGTGGGTGAACACCAAGCAGCAATTTGTATTCAGGCTCTATAACAACTGATGCCAGCATTTTCTTCTGCCTGTTCTTGATTAGGGACGATTGCTGCAGTTCACCAGTGTGTGATGGGGACATCTGTCTACATGTTTTTGTCCTTCCCTTCTACCTTTTTGTTCAAGGTCAACAATCCTGAAAGGATCCAGTTGCTCTAGTAGTTTTATGTTTACTTAGAAGCATGCATGCACTCACATGTGTCCTGTTAAGTGATCATTCATATGAACAAATAGATGTACACTTCGTAACCTGGGTAAGTTTCTTCGGTGGCATTGAATCAACCAAATCCTTTTGCTTCAAGTCAGTGGGAGTTAAATTGAGCCCTTTTAAGGTGTATATATTCGTCCACACTAGATCTATGGATGAAAACAAACCAGTCATGTGACCACTAAACTCTTAACATTTCCTTGTGATTCTTATAATGTATATTATATGTTCTTTCTTATGTATTTGCCTGCATAGGGACTACAGATGAAAACTAGCTTTGTAGCTATAATCTGGCATATTTACATTTGTTTTTTTACTGATGTTCATTAATTTGCTTTGTCCCTATTCAAATAAATAAATTAAATAAATGAGATCAAGCTAAAACAACACTTTTAAAAGTATTAACAGGTAATTTAGTGACATACTTGGAGCAACACATTTAATAGTTGTAATTAATCACTTATAAAAGTTAAGGTTCCCTATCACTAGTGTCATAAGTTTACATTATTCGTTTTCACTCATTCATGTTGATAAGCTAGATTCTAACCACAGCTGTCCTGGGGCACAGTAACAGAAGTGAGTTTTGCCATTCGCAGTCCATACTGGGTCCTCTGACCAGCCAATGAGGGTCAAGTGTCTTCCCCAAAGAGACAACGACAAAGAGAGATTGAGCTTTGATTTGGATCCTGCAACCCTCTGGGTACAGGTTCAATTTCTATATTCTACGCCACATCTCTGAAGTCAACCCTTGTTTTAGTTAGCTCATTTATTTTACCAAATACAAGAGTTCACTCATAGAACAGAACTCCAAGAGAAACTCTGTTAAATGTTGATTTTGTTGCTTCAATTTATCTATACAGAATAACACCTAGTCTTTGGAGGAGCTGACTCTTGCATGGGTAAAACAAACCAAACAAGTGTTATTTTAATGCTGTACTTTCAACATACAACACCACTATCAGAAATTCAACACATCTGATCTGCTACTGTATGTAGCATAAACTAAGAGCTTGTTGAGATTTTATGGCTTAGATCCTGATCCTATAACCTAATCAAACCGAAAAACAAAAGAAAATAATTTCCCTCTCTCTTATGTCTAGATCATGCTGCAAACGTCTGAGCAGAAATAGTCAAATGGGTCCCTTCTTAGTTGAGTCATTTGCTAATTCACTGTTAAGCAGTTTTTTGCTATACGTATCTGAGTGGTCCGCACATCTGAATCGATGAATTTAAAGTTTTCACACCCCTCATCATGCTTGATTTGAGAACATTTTCTTCCAGAAATAAACATGTTGGACAAGCAATACATCCTTCTAGAGAACGTACACAAATATACACAATATAGACATGTTTTGATTTAGCCCATAAATATCACCATAATCAACCAACCATGCTCATCTTGGAATGAAAATACTTTAACTCTTAAATGACTCCTCTAGAGTACCATCTAGAGTCCGTCAGAGTATTGAGTGCGGCAAGGAAAATATGCACAGAGAATAAAATGCTGTAAACGCTGTGCCGGCAGTGGTTTGCACATTTAATTTCCGAGCAGAAGGTAGATCAGTCAAGCCTAAATCACCCATCAGGGCTCTAAGGGCTAACCGACTAAAGGAGGTGTGAGTGATATTTTGACTGCATCCTCACGCTATCTTAACTGTCTTATTTCATGGCTTGGAACCCCATATATTCATCTTACAAACTATGATACTAAGCTTCTTATTTTATATCATGAGCACAGCCACTATCTTCAAAGGACTCAGTTTGAACTGCTTGTACTTGCCTTTATGAGTCATCCTCTAATCTTGGAAAGGTTTTGAGTGCATTTAGGTCTCAGAAAGTTACAGCTTTTGGAAATAATGCACCTTCTATGATGACTTAAGAGAAATGCAGTTTTCTTAGTTTAAAATAAGTTCAGGTAAATAAATATTTTATTAATAATTAAGACAACTACAGTAGGACCCCAGAAATGTTATATGAATTAAAGATGCAGGCACATATTATGGAGTAAGGCATTGGACAGAGGTTTATCAGCAAAGGCCTGCTGGTCTAAACTTTTCCAATAGAAACTCATGAAGTCTCCTCAAAAATAAGGTAGATTTGCCACCTTTCCTATAACTTCACAAACTGCAAAAGGACTTAAGGGACTGATATATAACTTTGCATAAGACAGTGTTCTAATGTTCCTGAACTGGCACAACTTATGGATGTGCTATATTACCAATCATGTGATTGCATAGATAAGTTCATCATGAAGAACTATTTAGCCACACTGAAAATTGTGCAAAAATGCTGAGGTTGTTTAGGAGAATAAATAGCTACATAATTTATAATGGTCTCTAAATGTATAAAATGTGGACATTTTGGCCGCTTTCACAGCAAAGCCAAAGTCCGATTTGGTGTGAAGTCATTAAGGACCCACGAATGGGCCTTGGAACCGTACCATGGTGTGTCTACACAACTATTGCTGTTGTGCCATAAAATGATGATCTGCCAAAAATTGATTAATAAAATAGTTAAAGGTTAAATTTTGGCCATCAAACAATATCAACACTAATAAAAATAAACATTTTAGCCAAGGACCTTTTGAGAGGTGTGTTTCTCATTTAAAAACAACCAAAACAAACAAATTTAAACAATGTTTAGGGCTAGGATAGATAAATAGGGTAAGGGTTAATAAATAAAGAAAGTTAGGGTAAATAAATAGTGTACAAGTAGGTCATAAAGGGCCATACTTGCCCTAAAGAGACAGGCACTGCTAATTACTATTTTATTCTCTTTTCCTTCTTAATCAGTACACTACTGGATCACCACTGAAAGGATCTAGTTGTGCATGACCATAGTTTGGCTCTGTTAATTCTCTCATTTTAGCATTCAGCATACTGTATGTGTTCCTCATTTTCTTTTAACAAAGCATTGTACTTTTACTTTAAATTTGGCGACAAGCACTTTAAAGCTTTATTAACTTTTTTGAAAAAAAAACTCTTTGGTTCTGTTCCATTTTACTCATCCTCATTTCTTGAAGCCAGCATTTGCTGTGTACAAACTGCAGTTTCTATAAAATATCCTAAAGATATATGTGCAAATTCTCAGTCAAGACAACCACAAAAAATGTGGAAATTGGAAGTAACCAAACCTTGGATTAGTTTTTCCAGGGGTCTGCCAATTCTGTCAGCGGACCTTCAAATACTGCTGCAGCATAGAGTTAACCTGTTTAGGAAACTTCTATGATGTTTTGACAACATGTCACCTACAATATGAACAGCATTATTATTATTTTCTATAATGATCTCTGAGTTTAGCAGTTTCGTTCAATAAAGAACTAGGAAAATCCTAAAGCTGTATAACATATCTGTATTTGAGTAATTCATGATTTAGCTATGATCTATTTCATTGAGGTAAGGCAGACTTGGGTGGAGATGATGCCACAGCAGCCAAACCGGTCCAAATCTAACTGAGAATGTTGTTTAAATATTGCGATTATTAATTTAAGCCCTAATTTACACCCTGTAGACTGGAAACACTCAGCTTGGGACCCTGATCCATAACTCATCTGAGTTTAAATGTCCACAATAACTTCCACATTGGTGTTTTAATTAATTTAATTGAATTCCCTTTGCTTTATAACCCACATGACTGCAATACTCATGTCATGCTGTGTTATCTACAGTCCGTCTTAATATATTTGACACTGATAAAAGAGAATGAGCTGATTGACACGTCTTTGCATATGAAATACTGCTTCTGAGTTGTGGGTATTTCTGCCTGATGGATTTTGGCTGTTATGATTAAAAGAGACAAAAAAAAGCTGAACAGATTCTTCTCTGCCATCAGCAAAGAAGCCACAGTGTGAAAGACATGCTAACAAGTTTTTATCATCTTCAATAGCAATTAACTCCTCAAACAATGACACATAGACTAGTTTTCTGGACTGGTGAAAGGGTAATGTTATGTTTCCCAAAAAATCTTTTCAAATGAGAATGTCAGAATACAGAGATGTTGTTGGAGGGCTTCTGATAAACTACAGAGGTTTTCAGCAAAATGCCAGAAAACATCTGAATTAGACTTAACCTGATTATTATCTGTGATGCAGTTTAGAATGAAGCTTATTATTAGAAACATCCCATTCTAACAAAGACTGTATTGTTTGAAAACAGTGTAATTAAGATTGAAAGCAAAGTTGGGCATAAGTCCATCTTCCAGGGGAGGTTAATCATTCCTCTCTGGTCTTTTCACCCCTTAAAACATGAGGAGTTCACTATAGCTGGCAACGTTGTGGCACCAGCATCTGTAACCGGGGCAGATGTTCACTAAGTGCCTTGCTCAAGCATGCCCAGGGTGATTGAATCTCCTCCTCCAACACATGTACAAAACACCAACACCAGAACTCATCAAGCTGCAGCTGAAAACGAGGGGCTTTTAATCCCAGACTTAGATGTACGTAAAAATTATTAAAAAGAAGCTTAAACTTGTGCTGTTATCAGGCACTATTGTTGCTATACAACATAACTTGCTCATTATAGTGAATCATGTCAGGGGAACATGCATCTTTGTTTTCTTCTGATTGTGAACTTGTCTCTAGCTTTCTCTAACCTGAATGAATGCTAATTTCTGTCATGTTATTTTGGATGCTACAGTCTTTCAAAGCTTTATGAGGTTCTTCACTTGCAGACTTCTTCTTTTTTTTTGTCTGCAGTTCTGGATGTCTGCAGTGGCCACAACCATGCCCATTCCATCTGGAGCCTTCATGCCGGTTTTTATTCTTGGTGAGCAGAGAAAAAAACATACGGTAGTCATTACTGGTGGTGTGGGTATTTGTCAACCCGCCTAATATTATAAAACATCACTCCATTTTTAATGCCAATTTACCTTGGTTTAGTCTCTGTTTCTAGCACTCAGCAGCACTTATCTGAGGAAATTTAAGCATATCCTTATTCAATCAAGGAATATTATGTAAGAATTGCTATTCTCTTACGCTGAAATGGGGTATTTCACTCAAATGAATAACATGCCCTAGCACTTCAATTCATTGATAGCTGTCATGTGTCAAAAATCCTTGACAACGTAGATTTAACTATGTCATCTGAGGTAAAGTGATGTCTATAAAAGCTGGCATTTACTGTGACAAAAAGCCAGCATTCAATACTGCGTTGAAACTACTAAACCGATGTAAACCAACAATTCTGCACCAACAAGATTGGTATATGTTAGCAGAATAAAACCAAATGGAAAAACTTCGCTTTGAGCTAATTTAGGCAGTGCAGATCATTACTTGTCAAGGAGAAACAGGGAAACTTCAGTGTCCCTCTAAAAATCTTTCTCGTTCATTACTTCCTTCCACCTGGGGAAGGCTTGCCTGATATTTGTCCTGGTTTTTTATGTCTCCTGTTTCATTTCCTTTTGAAGTTCTCCTTTTTCAACAGTACAGTAAACTAACAGTAAGAAGAAGGAGCAGTTTTAAACATTAATGACCAAACTTTAGGATGTGTGTAGTTGTATAAAGACTGAACCATTTGCACAACTTGGTAGATTGTTCAGAAGGTTTGTTGGGTGGAGTTGGAGGAAAACAGAAGCACATGTTGTATATTATTTGTTTCAGTTTAAGAAAAGTTGACATTTTATAACATTTTTTCTCACAAAGTAAACAATTAAACCCCTATGTCACAGTTTTTATAGACTAATGATTACCCTTTCTCTCAGAGATACAGTTAACATTTTCAAAAAACCATGTTAGCACTAGACTAGCTGCTTGGCACAGGTATAATTTCTCTAAGCTGTAATATGAGTAGATAATTTTGAGGTGACAATCCACTATGCATTAACTATAATTGATCAGATTAATTGTGATTAATTGATTATTGAAATAATTGTCAACTATTTACGTAACGGGTAAATCATTAACTGGAGTATAGAGACTGCAAGATATGCCTTTAGCTGACAGAGCAAAAAAACTTTAGAAACATTTGTTTTTTTACTGAGATTTAAAAAAAAAAAATAATTTGTCTATCAATATGCTCTATCGATAATAGTTTCACCTGGTTTAATTTCTTTAAAAAATGTATTTAAGCAAACATTGGCTGATTATTATTCCATGAATCAAAAAAATAATTGACAGATTAATCGATTTGTAAAATAATCATTAGTTGCAGCTCTAGTTCAATGCATCCTAACACAGATATTTGTCAGGCCCTGTAGGAGAATGACCTGTTTTCCACTTTCACATATAAACTAAGTACCAATTTCAAACGGCTAGAAAGCTGTTTTTAAAGAGAACTTGTGTGAAGATGAACACGAGTGGGTCAGAACTTTGAAGTGGTAATTTCTAAGTGCTGCCTCTACATTAAACTTCTCCCTGTATTACTCAGCCTGATGTCGCTCCATGGCCTAGTTTAAGAAACCTTATCTGTCCTTATATGTTTCTTTTGCCAACTGTTATATGGAGATGTACAAACAATTTTCATTTAATTATCTTTGGTTAAAGTGTGTAAGAAGAAGGTTTCAGTTCTGTGCTGGTCTTGTAATGGACTTTTACCATCTCCTGGGTGTTCCCTGATTTTTACCCAGTGAGCACTGGAGCTAAGCTGCTACCCCTCCATTTAGCATCAGTCAACAGAGTTAAGTGTATATAGAAAGTGGGTGGATGGATAATTCATTTTAGTACTGGAGAGCAGTGCTAGATGTTTAATTTTTAGTGTCTACTGTTGAAAATGTATTCACTTTCACCATTTGATTCCTCCTGTAGGAGCTGCATTTGGCAGACTTGTCGGGGAAGTCATGGCAACCCTGTTTCCTCATGGGATTGTGTTCGATGGCATACTGTACCGCATCATTCCCGGTGGTTATGCAGTCATTGGTCAGTCTGTGGTTATTGTTTCTTCTGTTATTGCTCTGTTTTGTGTTTCAGCTTTTGTATGCTTTGTCGTCTTTGAAAAACATCCGCATCAACAGAGGTTATTGGGTTTTGCACCATTAAAATCCATATCCATTAAGTTCTACTTTCAAACATTTCCAATTATTTCATGTAGCATTTTGCTTTTGGATTATCTTGACATTGAATCCAATGATTTTTAAAACATGTCAAGTGTCTCTTCAATGCCAACTTCTCTTCCCTAAACTCTCTGGTCCTTTGCTTTAGTGTAATGACATGTATGGTATGAATAATTATCAGTTTTCTAAGGCTTAACAAACTTTGGGATTTTAATCAAGTTGAACAAGCTGGAGCGCTGCCTGATTATCCGGAATTAAAAGCTAAACAGCTCATTGTCTGTTTGTTATTGCTTATTCAATACCCGTCTGGTGAGGTGTGTTGTAATAAAAGACAAAGGACTGAATTTGTGCACTTCAATTCTCAAACAAGCACTACAGACATACAGGATAAACAACTTCTCTCAGTACCAGAGGTTATCAATAGAATCCTTTAATTTTTAGTTCAAATAAATAAATAATAAATTATTTTGGAAGTAAAACTTAAAAGAAAAGAAAAACTCATGAACTATACAATAAAATGTTTAACTTCTATTCATCGTTGTGAGGAATTTGCAAAAGCCAGCCAGAAAACCCCTGAAATCTTCAAAAAAGCTGTTAATTTAGTTCACAAAAGTTTTCAAAAAATGGTAAATTGGGCCCAAAAACAGAGGTCAACAAAACAGACTTCAATTCAGGTACTAACACAATGAACTCAAGCAAAAACTCAGCTCTCATACAAGGCATAGGTGAAATTTAAATAATGGCTGATCAGACCACTGTTGACACACAAGGGGGATAACTGACTAACAAACTAACAAACAAATTAACTTAAAGTGACAAATACTGGCCAGACACTAAGTACTTTTTAAATTTAACAAATTAACAAAACTATCAAAAACAAAGAAGATGTAAACAAAGGATAAGCAAATTTCCCCTCCAATTACAAGTGGTGTGACCTGCTGATTAGCCTGCAACGACCAATTAAGGAGAAGAAAGCTGAAGCTCGTTGCAGCAGCCCAGCAGCAGCTCCAAAGGAAACTGGCAACTAGATCAATTGCATTTAACCAAAATATAAGAAACTGACAAATAAAGTTAACTAAATGTGAGCACTGCAAATAGCTAACTAAAAGTCAGGCTAATGAAAATATTTAAAAAATCTAAGTAACTCATCTCAGCTTTTATCTAAATTGTATTGTAGCTGTTCAACGAGTCGTAAAGGAGATTCAGACAGCCTTCATCCTTACAGGCATGATAACGCAACGGACAAATATGAATTACACCGGTCAGATTGTAGTCTTTTTGAAAAAGGACACAAAAAGCAAAAATAACACAAATGTAGTGAACATTTGTGTACATTTGCGTGTGCCACACAGAATATGTATAACAAAATGACATATTTTTGTTCAGCTCTATGAGGGTTGTACTTATTTGCTCTCAGCAGCCGCTAG